CAGACACCCCTATATCACTCGGCCCTATAGTTACCCCAGGTATATATATCACCGACACCCCTATATCTCTCGGCCCTATAGTAACCCCAGGTATATATATCACAGACACCCCTATATTTCTCGGCCCTATAGTTACCCCAGGTATATATATATAACAGACACCCCTATATCTCTCGACTCTATAGTTACCCCAGGTATATATATCACAGACACCCCTATATCTTTCGGCTCTATAGTTACCCCAGGTATATATATATATATAACAGACACCCCTATATCTCCCGGCCCTATAGTTACCTCAGGTATATATATAACAGCTGACACCCCTATATCTCTCGGCTCTATAGTTCCCCCAGGTATATATATAATAGACACCCCTACATAATGTATATCTCTCGGACCTATAGTTACCCCAGGTATATATATAACAGACACCCCTATATCTCCCGGCCCTATAGTTACCTCAGGTATATATATAACAGCTGACACCCCTATATCTCTCGGCTCTATAGTTACCCCAGGTATATATATAATAGACACCCCTACATAATGTATATCTCTCGGCCCTATAGTTACCCCAGGTATATATATATCACAGACACCCCTATATCTCTCGGCCCTATAGTTACCCCAGGTGTATATATATCACAGACACCCCTATATCTCTCGGCCCTATAGTTTCCCCAGGTATATATATATCACAGACACCCCTATATCTCTCGGCTCTATAGTTCCCCCAGGTATATATATAATAGACACCCCTTCATAATGTATATCTCTCGGCCCTATAGTTACCCCAGGTATATATATCACAGGCACCCCTATATTTCTCGGCCCTATATAGTTACCCCAGGTATATATATCACAGACCCCCCTATATCTCTCGGCCCTATAGTTACCCCAGGTATATATATCGCAGACACCCCTATATCGCTCGGCTCTATAGTTACCCCAGGTATATATATCACAGCCCCCCCTATATCTCTCGGCCCTATAGTTACCCCTGGTATATATATCACAGACACCCCTATATTTCCCGGCCCTATAGTTACCCCAGGTATATATATATCACAGACCCCCCTATATCTCTCGGCCCTATAGTTACCCCAGGTGTATATATCACAGACACCCCTATATTTCTCGGCCCTATAGTTACCCCAGGGATATATATATATCACAGACACCCTATATTTCTCGGCCCTATAGTTACCCCAGGAATATATATATATCACAGACACCCTATATTTCTCGGCGCTATAGTTACCCCAGGTATATATATCACAGCCCCCCCTATATTTCTCGGCCCTATAGTTACCCAAGGTATATATATATATCACAGACACCCTATATTTCTCGGCGCTATAGTTACCCCAGGTATATATATCACAGGCACCCCTATATTTCTCGGCCCTATATAGTTACCCCAGGTATATATATCACAGCCCCCCCTATATTTCTCGGCCCTATAGTTACCCAAGGTATATATATATATCACAGACACCCTATATTTCTCGGCCCTATAGTTACCCCAGGAATATATATATATCACAGACACCCTATATTTCTAGGCCCTATAGTTACCCCAGGTATATATATCACAGCCTCCCCTATATTTCTCGGCCCTATAGTTACCCCAGGTATATATATCGCAGGCACCCCTATATTTCTCGGCCCTATATAGTTACCCCAGGTATATATATCACAGACATCCTATATTTCTCGGCCCTATAGTTACCCCAGGTATATATATCACAGACACCCCTATATCGCTCGGCTCTATAGTTACCCCAGGTATATATATCAAAGGCACAGCTACCCCAACAAGCCCTGAATTTTATCTCAGGAAACCATATCTGCGTATTTCCTTACCTAATACTGTATCGACACTCAGCTGTTGTTACCTGGAATATTTACCTTTTCTGTACCTGGTGTAAAGGAACACCAAGGTAATGTTAACAAGATCTAGAGATGTTGAGAGTGTATGGTAAAGCTTGTTTAGAAAAGGTGCATACATTACGTTGATGTGATATTAAAATCATTGTCAACACCTAAAAATGGCGTACCAGTTTTTTTTGCAATGCAAAGAATAAATATAATTTCTTCCCGTAGAATATATATTTATGCATAATTACTTGGGCACTATCTATTGTAAAGTCACCATGGAATGATCTAATCTTCGTACATGTTTTCAAATTATTTTTTAAACTGGCATGAAATTTGGGCTCTTGAAATTGGAAAAAAAATCATTTAGATTTCATATAGGCTAAATATTATTATGTGCTTTTTTGAAAATTATTTACAGTAAATATCCTGAAATTGACTGACCTACATGTATTTGTTTTCAGATCTGGATACACTCCCACACTGTACAGAAAAATACACATGTACTTTAAGGATAAATAGCCACTTGCCCTGAATTTAAAAGTGTCCTCACATAAAATATAGAGCTGTTTCTTCTTCATTTTTTTTTTTTAAACCTTTGTAACGAATCCCCCATGTGAGGTTTCCAAATGGTAGATGATAGATATACTTAGAATAACTTTATTAAGAGGTGATTGTAATTTAGACAGGCATGCTCAAGTTCTGATTGGACTAGTCATACAATAGATAATAACTGTAGGTACGTACACCTAAAGAGGTTTTTTCTTGGTTTAGTTAATTGGCCCGATCATAAGAGCATACCTGTTCTCTACAACAGTGACCTAACAAGTGTACAACTCACAATAAATCACCTCATTTCAATTGATGAAGTGTTTTATTGGAAAGGAATTCATTCCATTATGTAATCCACATGATAATGTACACTGATTAAAATTTTGAGTGAATATTTTCTTCATGACATCTCTTGTGTTTGATTAGGAAGCATGCTTGTTATAGACAAGTGTATGGACATTTAACAATACATGGTTCATTGTATACAGCAGCAGAAGCTCAAGCCTCCATTGCAGCTTACAGTTGGTACTCACAAAGGGCTGTTGGTGAGGAACTCTTTTGTCTTTCTTTGATTTGTTCCATAATATGAAAAACAATTGGCATCATTCACTGACTTATGTTACTTTCAAGACAGGAAGACTGGTTGCATCTGTCAGTTACTGGCCACAGACGCTTGCAAGACACTAGTTTGTTTATCTGTGTCATCACACATGTTTCGCTTAATCTCAAAAGCAATCTGGAAATTGAATTTTGTTTGCATTTATAAGTGCCCACTATTTCCAATACAAGGTGCACATACATTGTATGCATGTTGTAGTGCATACTGTGTTACCACTGTCTGTCTTTATGTTTGTGTTGAGGTTATTTATTGAGTCCGTAATTGTACTGTAGCTAGGGTAATACAAGTACAGCATGTTACAGGACTTTTTTGTAACCTTGACCTCTGTGATGTACCTTACTTTTGGTTTTAAATGTAGGAGAGGGCATATGTGTGTTAAAGACATTTTTTTTAATATCATGTTTTAACGAATTTCACATTTATGTATATGTGGCAGATTTTAAATTGTACATAGGATTAATGCACCTACATGTACGTACTAGCTTCACGCTAGAGGGAATTGCCCTTTAGCTCAGTGGTAGAGCGTCGGACTAGGAACCTAGGGAACGCGGGTTCGATTTCCGGTGGAAGCACACTATTCTCTTTCCTGTTACAAATGTTAATTGCTTTAGATACATATTCCATCAACTGACAAAGCACCATTTAAATACTGTGTCTTATCATTATCAGATTTTGGAGGTCAAGAGATCAAAATAAAGTCAAGATGACATTCATGTGTAATGAAATGTCAAGGTCACAGTGGCAGATGCTTGTGTAAATATTTGTGTGCAATTCTACAACTTAGTAAGGAATCCAGATTTCTTCATATACCGTTTGAACATTTGGAGTACATTTCCTGTGGTTCACAGATTTCCATACGCCTGTAGCACATTTTCACAACTGACTACATTTTTATGATAGTTTGATATATAGGTAATGACATACATGTACATTTATTCAAATTTACAGAAATAAACACTGAGATGTTCAAATACAAATAAAGGACAAACTATTTCTGGGTCATAGTTCAAATCTGGAACTAGTTGTTAAAACTTTTGAAATGGAGGTGCAAATGAGGTAATTTATTTTGTTAAGATCAACTGGGCCGAAGTCTGCACGACACAAGTCTTTCACGAGTCACCTTGATTGAATTATCAGCTACTTTGATTAATCAGTTATTAAACACAGGAATTCTGATAACAGACGTTTATAGTTTTCTGTGAGAAGTCATACCTTAGCCATCTTGGTTATCTTGGGTAATTACCACCTAAGTTAAAAGACATACCTCTGTAAACACTGATGTGACCATGAATATCAGAATATATAATGAGAAACCAGTTTTATTTGAAACTTATCTATAACAGGCTGTTAAAAAATCGCTATAATATATCAATTCATTTTTGACTGACTACAGTATTTTAAGCTGAGGTCAGGCTTTACCTTGGCCCCATACTAACTTACTTCTGGTTTAGCTGTGTGCCATCTACCTCTTTTCTCTGAAATTGTATAACATGTACTCCATAAATGCTTGTGATTTTTCTATAAAATCCATATAATTTTACTGGATATCATTGATATCAAATGGCTAGAGTATATCTAACCGATCACCAGTTCTGGTTTAATTGTCAAAGTATATGGAACTACTGGTATCAGGATATAAGGTACTTGAAATCATGCGTCTGCTCCCATGAGTACATTGTCATCTGCTTCAATTAAATATTGTATAAAAATGTAAATGTTTTTAATTTAATCTTAAGGTGAATCCTTCCAGGCGTCACATCACCTGGTTGATGTGATTATTGATTTACAAAATTTGCCAATTAAGTGAAAAGAATATCACAGGGTTTAGTGGGTTTTCCATATTGAGTCGCCCATAATAAGACTTGTAGGGGTCTCTCGTGGCGAGCTCCACTCCAGCGTAGCTAGTATTATAGTATGGTAGCTTTAATACAATTCTGATCGGTCCATTTAAATATTTTCAGTGGATCGAAAATCTCACAGGTAGAAATACGTGGCTGACAATCTACCTGTATTGGGCCAAGGAAATGCCTAACTGTTGTCATACGGTGTGGTTTCTACCTGGATTATACATGAGAGGAAAACTATGTGTGCAGGTGATAGCACACTGAGGGGAATTTGAAAGGTGTGTTATACAGAACATGTGTTGTACAGTTGGGGTGGACGACATGTTACCTGTGTCCCTTTCGCATCCGTAACAGTAGTGTCTTGTAGGAGAGACTCGCCTGTGTTTTCTGGGTAGAAGATTCGATGACAAACTCAGTAGTCCAGAAGTTTTAATCTTACCTGTGTAAATGATTACATTAAGGAATATTCACCAAAATATGTGTTTCTGTCAGATATCTATCTAAAAGTATTGTCTGTGCAGAGGATTTGACACGGAGGTGCCTGTTGGATTTATGTGGACAGTAACACCATTTGTACCTCAAGGTATCTTGTGTATAACAGATTATAATGAGGAATATTCGCCTGGCCTGATGTGTCCAGTCAGATCCATATCTTAAAAGAAGTTTTCTTTGTAAAGGATTACTCGCGGCCTGTCCCTCCAGTAAACTGGACAGGTATTGAATTGGAATGTATAACGTGTCTTCTCTATAAATCAGATATGTTTGTGAGCAGTATAGAACTCTGTGATCATTACTCATTGTGTTTTCTATGTAAGGGATTACAGTGAACTTCTGACAACTCCTCGGCTTGTCACAGACATACAGTAGACAGTGTTTAGTTGGAATATATCAGTAACACCCTGGGATTTAGCTGCTCCCTTTGTGAAGGATGTGAAGTAGAAAGGGTAGGTATCGGCCATGTCCGTGATTACATGCGTAATAGTTTTAATGGCGATCACCTGGTACTGTAGGGACATCTGTCACTCGTAAAATAGTGACATTTGGTAAATGTACCTCTACGTTTATCTTAATCAGCCTTTCTGAAATCCAGATAGGTTAAAAAACCCTATTTAAAAGGTGAACTTAAGAATGAATATGGCTAATATTCAAAATGAAATGTTAGTTTGTGAAAGGGATATATTTACATAAGTTAGAGGTAGGTAGAGTGTTAGCTTTGTTAAATGATTTTGTATTAGATAAAATTATGTGTTTTCAAACTTTTCTCTTAATCTAACACAAAACTAATGGTAGAAACAAATAGTGATTCCGATAATGTCAAAATATCTATTTATGATTGTACATGACTTTCAAAATTACTATATGTACAACTGTACGTGACTGTCGTTACATACCGTCAATACTTTTAGATGATGTTTGAAGTTGTTACTGAATGGTTTATCTCCAGTTTGTAGTCAAATCTTACCAGTAAACTACTGTACAGAATACTATATTCTGAGATGATGCAATTAATGGAAACATTCTATTTCAAGCTTATTTTGTTCTGTTTAGAAAAGATATACAGTTATTGTAGTGACATTATCACTTGCTAATTGATAAGCTGTCTATCTACAAATGATTTCTATATGACATATCCTATAATCATATGTAATTTAGGTCCACTCTGAAAAATTTGAACTAAAAACTAAAGCTAACTGAGACAGGTGTGGGTGGTACCCTCCTGGAAATTGTACCTGTGATAATTTGACACCTAGATCATGTCTGTATTTGACAGAACAGAACATTGAGTTTATCCTGTTTCTTCATCTCTAACCATATACTAGTTTAACCACCCTGCACTGACCCCCTCCCCCACTCCACACCCTGTACTGAACCCCCCTCCCCCATTCCATACGTACCTGCACTGACCCCCTCCCCCACCCCACACCTCCACACCCCCCCCCCCCACCCCCCACCCCACACCTCCACACCCCCCCCCCCCCCCACACCCTACACTTTAACCCCCCTTCCCCCACTCAACACCCTACAACGAAAATCCATCCCCCACTCCACCCCATACCCTTACACCCCCCTTCCCCCCCTCAACACCCTACACCGACACCCCATCCCCCACTCCACCCCCTACACTTATACCCCCTTCCCCCCCCCCCCACCCCACACCTCCACACCCCCCCCCCCCCCTCCCCACCCTATACTTACACCTTCCTCCCCCACTCCACACCATACCCTTACACCCCCCCCCCCCCCTACCCTTACATCCCCCTTTCCCCCCCCCCCACCCCTCTCCATTCCCCCCCCCCCCCCCTACCCTTACATCCCCCTTTCCCCCCCCCCCCCCCTCCACACCCTGTACTGAACCCCCCCTCCCCCCCCTACCCTTATACCCCCCCTCCCCCCTTCCATATATACCTGCACTGACCCCCTCCCCAGCTCCACAATCTGCACTGACCTACCTCCCCCATTCCACATGTAGCTGCACTGACACCCCCCCCCCCCCCCACCCCTCTCCATTCCCCCCCCCCCCCCCCACCCCTCTCCATTCCCCCCCCCCCCCCCGCCACCCCCTACACTTATACCCCCCCTCCCCCCCTCAACACCCTACACTTATCCCCCCCTCCCCCCACTCAACACCCTACACTTATACCCCCCTTTCCCCCCCCCCCACCCCCCCCTCCCCACCCTATACTTACACCCCCCCCCCCCACCCCACACCTCCACACCCCCCCCCCCCACCCCTCTCCATTCCCCCCCCCCCCCCCCACCCCACACCCCTCACTTATAACCCCCTTCCCCCCCTCCCCACCCCACACTTATATCCCCCTTCCCCCACCCCACACCCCTCACTTATAACCCCCTTCCCCCCCTCAACACCCTACACCGAAACTCCATCCCCCACTCCACACCCCACACTTATACCCCCCCCCCCCCCCACCCCTCTCCATTCCCCCCCCCCCCCCCTACCCTTACATCCCCCTTTCCCCACCCCACACCCTGTACTGAACCCCCCTCCCCCATTCCATACGTACCTGCACTGACCCCCCCCCCCCCTCCACACCCTACACTAACACCCCTTCCCCCACCCCACACCTCCACACCCCCCCCCCCCACCCCCCACCCCACACCCTACACTTATACCCCCCTTCCCCCACTCAACACCCTACACCGACACTCCATCCCCCACTCCACACCCTACACTTACACACCCCTTCCCCCACTCCACACCCTACACTTACATCCCCCTTTCCCCCCCCCCCCCCCCCCCTCCCCACCCTACACTTATACCCCCCTTCCCCCACTCCACACCCTACACTTATACCCCCTTCCCCCACTCCACACCCTATACTTACACCTCCCTCCCCCACTCCACACCCTACACTGACACTCCATCCCCCACTTCACACCCTACACTTACACCCCCTTCCCCCACTCCACACCCTACACTTACACCCCCTTCCCCCACTCCACACCCTACACTTAC